TTTGTAACAGAAAAATAATAGTTTAAAATATATTCTCCTGTTCTCCCATAGTTTGACTTTCAAGGGGCCCAAATACCCTTTGTGAAATTGTGCAGTGCCATTTTTGGTTCAGAAGAGGGAAGAATGAGGCTTCTCAGCTCTGTCACTTGCCTTCCTTTAGGCTTGTGCCTACTGGAAGTCTGGCTAACCCTCAAAGACCCAAGAACAGAATCCTCTATGGCCTTCTACAAGGCAGCAGTCCACAAAGTTGGGTCCCTGGCTCCCACCTCCCACCCTCTGGCCCTGCCACTGCTCTGACCTCTATTCTGGATGCTTGCTGCCCTCTTTTCTCTCCCTTGTTACCCCTCCACCCCCCCCCCAAGGGCTTCCTTGGCTCCAATCTTTCCTCTACTTTTCTTTCCCCCACACATAAAACGCCCATTGGCATTCTTTGACAACTTGGTTTTCAAGGTTTATTTTAGGCAGGGAGGCACGGAGCAGGAATGGTGGCAGTAAAGTCTCCTTTGCAAATAATAAATGGAATTTCATACATATTTCATATATATATATATGAAAGTAGAGCAATGTTGGAGTATTTTGTGTCACCCAGATGACCCCTCTGAAGATCAGAGCTATAGAGACCACTGCTATGGAATAGCCACCTTCCCCAGATGTCAAGAGGAAACAATCATCTCAGAGCATCAAGTATAAAACCCCTGCCTGATGATTTCTGACATCCAGCACTAATTTCAGGTAACTCCTGGAAAGGACTCACTGATGGTTTAATCCTTCCTTAAAAGTGCCTTGCCACGGAATGCACCAAGGCCCCTCAGAGAGGAAAGTACTTACCCTTCCCTCTGAACCATATTTTTAAGGAGTGACTGCACGAACACCAGTTGGTTTTGAACTGTGGAAACTACAGGCTAAGCACCAGGAACAGCCTCAGGTAAATATGCCGCTTGAAGGGTTATCACCATGGCTGAACAGAAGCCAGGGCACTGCAGGAGAAGGGTGGAGATGTGCATGCTCTGGATAATTCCGTCTTGCATCTGATTAACTTATGCAGCTGCTCACCCTCCAGCCCCAGCCTGGTTCTCTACTGCACACCTTGGGTTTGTTGGTGAGCCAAATCGAGTGTCTAATTGGTGAGCTACATAAAAAAAATATTTTAGGAACCTCTTCTTCTCTTGCCTACCAGCCCCCTCTTTCCCATCGACAGTAATAAAAACAATCACTTTTGTTAAGCTTAACATGTGTCCTTTACTGGGAATCCTCCCACCTTGACCAGGGAAGCAGCATTCCCACTATTTTTCTGACCAGGGCGCTGAGGCTCAAAGAGATTAAAAAAGTTGCTCCAAGTCACACAGTAGCCGAGCAGGGTGCCAGTTGCTACGCCGGGTCTGTCTGATTTCAATATCCACGTTTTACATTCTGCAAAATCACAAAGCTTTCCATTCAAAGGAGACTAGCTAGAGGTCAAGGTCAGCAATGTGGAAGCCCTACCAGAAAATCTCCTTTCCTGGGCCCTTCTCTGGTCCAGGAACTCATTTTCAGACTAGAAAGTCTCTCTTTCTGTCTCTCTCTCTCTCTCTCTCGTCCGTATCTTGTCCGCTCCTTAAGGGCAGAGAGGATCCATGTTCTTTATTTTCCTATTACCTGGGCCTATCATGTAGTAGGTGCTCAGGAAACAAAGGCTAAACGGAATGAACTGTATTCCAGAACTTTGCTGGCATTTCACAGCATCAGGAGCTTGTGAGAAATGCAGAATATTGGCTCCCAACCCAGATGTGCTGAGTAAGCCTGTGCATTTAGGAAGGTCCCCAGGAAATCACATGCACTGTGAAGTTTGAGACACAATCTTTGGCACCTTCACCTTCTTTAATACACGTTTTTTTCACACCAGCATAGAAGCTAAGCTCTCTCCTTTCTATTCTGCATCATCAGATGGAAACCACACATTGTTTTATGATCCATAGAAGTTCAAGTGATCTTGGAGGCAATTTGCCGAGAAGATGACTTCGCTTACAATGCCAAGTGGTCGCCAATGTCCAAGAATTCAGCGAGCAACAGTAGTGCCTTAGCTAATGCCTGCATTTAGAAATTCTTTTTAATAAGTGTTCACATTCTGTAAGTCCTTACTTAGTGCTGTAAGGTATTATTCACCATCATCAGATTTAAACTTGAGTTACTCATAGTTAAGTACTCCATTAGCATTCACGAATTTCTAACCTCTGGATAACTCTCATCGACAACTCAGCTCACTTCCTACACTCTTTGTTGAGCATCTATTATGAACAAGGCCTCACAGGGCTGAGATGCGGTGGGGAATATGAACGTGGCAGTCCCTGACCTCCCATCTTTGCTACAAATAGAATGATGATCAGGAACATGCTAATGAAACATTTGTGTAAGCAAATAATGCATCAAATATCATTTCCACTATTTAAATGTGAAACTCAATTAGATGCTTCTATGATGCAGCCAATTAATCCATCGGCGTAAAGCAGCCAAGAATACTGAGTCACTGGGCTATTTTCAACACCTTGTAATTTGACCTCTCTTGGGAAAGAGATGTCACCGCTTACACGGGATCCGCATGGGACAATCAGTGTCCGGATCACAATGGAGAAACTGACTTTTCAAGTGAAGGACAAGATACATAGCAGTAATAACAGTTAAGAAAAAGGACTTTAGCTCTTCAGGTTCTTAAGGTTCAAAAGCAAGACTTCAAAAAAATGAACATATACAGGTGATGATATCAAAAAGATATGCATACAGTGTTATTTTAATCTGAACAAATCACTAATTTGTAACTTGAAACAAGTGGCAGGGTGAAGAGCCAGCTATAAAGACTACCAAGAGTTAAGATAGTTTAAAAAATACGATAAATTCAACTTAATAATGGCATGCATCACATGATGTGGGTCATTTTTTTTTTAACATTTTCATTACTTTTTTCATTTTCATTATGAGGCAGCCAGAAATAGTTGAAAAAGGACCCAAACTCCTAAAAGAACCAAATGTGCTTAAAAACAATCATTATTTTCTACACAGAGATGAATTCTTTGTCACCATCTGAACACTCTCATCATATCAGGGAATTTTTTTCATCACACTAATTAATAAAGCCACACTTGGTTCTTTTCTTGGCACGTTTAACTCTTTGGGGGGCAACGTTTTATTAATAACGTATTTCCTCCAGAATGAAGTCCCTTCTCTCACCTCCGCAGGAGTCACTCTGGGGAGTAGTAAGGATATAACCAATTCTGCTGTTGCACACAGTGGGACAGATGAGCAAATAAATAGAAGCATCGATTTCCAAGACGAAAATGGCTAAAAGCAGCACATTTACAATTCTTCTAAGCCACACTCCCGCATCGCTCTGGGAGATGGAAGACAAGTATTGAATGTCTTTATGTTGCACACTTTATTTCTAACTAAGTGTTTAAGAAGACTGCTGAGAAATGCCAATACTTCTATGGGTCCTGGCTTAGCTGTGTAATGTAACACAGATTTTAAAAATTTATTTTCTGCTTTTGCAAAAAATAGTGGCCCTAGTCAGAATAACACCTTTAAACGCTATATTTATTTGGGGGTTATTTTAAAATACATTTTGGGATTATTTTTGCTAAGCTTTCTCTTTAAGGAAATCTTTGTGACAGAAAGACCTAGTACTTGCCCTTGAATCTTGAACTGGCACTTCCCACCCAAGAAGGGCAGCTCTGCTTTCATGCAAGCCATAATCAGTTGGTCAATTCACTGGTCAGGTACTAAGTTAGTCTTAGGACAGAGGCGTGGACAGGGCTACATCTTGCCAGGAACTGCTTTTGAGCCAATTGTCTGGAAAGTCCAAACAGGGAAAACCCTCCTATTAAGGAAAAGAAGGTTTGGTTTCTAAATGATCACTAATGACCAGTTCCTCTTTGCTGATTACGTTAACGACTACTCAATATTTTACCTGTAAAGAAACAGGCCAACCAATTTAATGAATTTGGGGCACTATACCAAAGCAGCAGGTACTGAAGACAAACCGTGGGGCTCTCCCCTCTTGGACCCCTTCTGAACACCTGTTGAATCCCAGGGCTCTAAACTTTTTGAACTAAAGCCTCCTGGATACAATCATGGTAGTTTTTAGACTTTCTGCAAGTGTGTGTGTATTTTTAAGGTTTCCATCTTGCTTAATCTCCAAAGCTGGTTACTAATTATTTATGAATCACAGGGCTGAAAACAAACTTTCTTACCTTGAGCAGTCAAGGAGCGGCACGCAGAGGAGCGGGGGGGTTTTAATTTAGCTCCCTGGCCCCTGGCCCCGCTCCCCCTGGTGCACGACCCCGCGCAGCAGCACGGAAAGGTCAAAGGTAGGGCTCCCTCGGCGGCCCCGGGGCGGGGGGGGGGGGGGGGGCACGCCTCCTACCAAAACAACGCGCTGGCATCCGAGCTGGGGAGCGGCGGCGAGGCGAAGCGAGGAGCCGGGCTACGCGTTCTCCAAACGTGCAGGGGGCAGGCTGGGTTCCCGGTCGGGCCCGGAGCCAAATCCGACCCAGGGACCCGGGGGGATCGCGCGCCCGGGGCGCGCACGCCGCACTCTCCCGGGCTTCCCCGCTCCCGCCTCTTCCAGAGGCCGAGCGGTGGGGCTCGGGGAGGCCACGGGCGGCCCTCCAGGCTGCTACCTCGGCTTGGCCTCTGTCCACCCCGACGGCACCCTCTGAGCTCCCCCAAAGGCTGAGGTTCGGGGTGCCTCGTCCCCCGCTGCCTACGGCGCGGCGCACACGGAGCACACCAGCCCGGCCGCCCCTGCAGTCCCGCCAGCTGCGGCGTCCCGGGCGGCGGGCCCCGGGGGGGGGGGCGGGGGGACCCCCGTCCCGCGCCCCTGACCCCCGCGCCGCGCAGCCCCGCGCCTGAGCCCCCCCCCCCCGGCCCCGCGCGTCCGCCGCGCCGGCTAGCAGGTGACCGGGTCCCGCGAACCCGCGCGCGCGGACTCCCGCCGCGGGCCCCCCGCGTCCCCGGGCGCGGCCCCTTACCTCGGAGCTGGCCGGGGCGACCCCGCGGGGCCGGGCGCGGACTGGGCCGGGGAGACGCGCCTCCCGCCGCCGCCGCCGCCGCCGCCGCTGGGAGCCGAGGCGGCGAGCGGGCGCGGCGAGCTCCTCCCGGGCGGCGGCGGGAGGCGCTGCTCTCGCTGCCGCCGCCGCCGCCGCCGCCGCCGCCACCGCGGCCGCGGGTCTCGGAGCTGCGCGGCCGCTGCTGCCCGGCCGCCGGCGCGCGGGTCCCTCGGCTCCTGCGGGAGGCCGGCTGCTCGCGCGGCAAACTCTTCCGCACGCAGAGCCGGTGGGGAGAGCCGCCGCCGCCTCTTCCTCCTCCCCCGCCCTCCTCCCGCCTCCCGCCTCCCGCCTCCCGCCTCCCGCCGCCGCCTCCTCCTCCTCCTCCCTCGCCTCCTCCTCCTTCCCTCCGCTCCTGCTGCCGGGTCTCTCCCGGGCGCACGCCGGGCCTCGGCCTGACCCGGCCTGGGACTCGCGCGCTGCGGCCCCCGGACCCCCCCAGCTCCCCTGGGCGGCGCGGGCGGCCGCCGCCTCTGCTGGGCCGCGGGGGGCGCGGGGTCGGGGCCCGGCCGGGGGCGCGGGGTCGGGCTGGCGCGGGCGGCGGGCGGCGGGCGGCGGGGGTGCGTGCTTGGAGGTGAACTGGCCGAGAGCGGCCGCGGGCGGGCGCGGGGCCGCCGGCCGAAGTCCCGTTCAAGTTGTCGCCGGGGGCGGCCAGGACAGACCCTCGCCGGGCCCGCTGCCACCCCGCGGCCCCGTGGGGGGGGGGCGAGCACACGACGGCCGTCGCCTCCACGCCGTCCCGGCGGGGCAGGTCTGCGCGCGGACTCCGATCCCCGGCACAGGCGCGTCTCCGCGCAGCGACCCCCGAGATGCCCAAGGAGCGGGGGCGGCCGGGCCCCTGGGGCTGGGGAGAAGCCGGAGAGCGCTGCTCGGGGGGCACCGCAGCGCCTGCTGGGGAGGAATAATCCGCGCTGCCTCCAAGGAGAACGTAGCCGGTCGGGAAAATGGGTCAAGGATGGAGAGGCTCCGGCTGAGCGCCCACCGCCCCCCGGGCAGCAGCGCGCGGGGTGGGGGCTGCGGCCGGGAGCGCGCCCTCGGAGCTCCGCGCGGCCTCTCCCTCCCCTCCCCCGCTGCCCTCCTCTCCTTTTGCACCAGTGCAGGAAATGTTCCACTGACCTACATATTTTTCCAAACATACGTGACCTTTTTTTTTTTTTTTTTCCTCTGTGGGAGGAGACAGGCGAGAATCCAAGAAAAGGAGAAGCTGGAGCGGCGCGCGCGCGAGCAAACAGGGAGGCTTTCACTGAGGCTCCCGCAACCGACGCCGAACAGAGACAGAAGCACCGAAGCCGTCCCCGGGGGCCGGGGGCCGGGGGCCGGGAGCGGCGGTCTGGCAGTCGGCGGGGCCCCGAGACAGCGCGGGGGGAAGGGCCCGGGGCCCGCGTCCCGCCGAGGCCCGACGCGGTGACCGGGATGCCCTGGGCTCGCAGACCTCCCGCCACCGCGTGGAGGCGCCCGGAGGGAGGCCCAGAGGAGGGGAGCGGGCCCCTGCCCCGCCCCCGGGAAGTCACCCTTTCCCTAACACCCCCCTAGTACAGCGCCTGGCGCAGGGCTGAGCACCCGGCAGCCGTTTCAGACGACCCTCGGTCCCTCGCACATGCCAGCAAGTAGCCCTGGAAAGGAAGGCGCCCCCGCCAGTCCTTGTCCATCATACTTGGTTTTGTGGCCAGAAGGAATCTCCTAGGGCACTTCCCCCGAACACCAGCCGGGCCAGTGTGCTGGGGTTCGCTGCCCACTCAGTTCCAGGGCCCTCGCTTTATCCTCTCCCCGCTCGAGTTCAAGGTAGGCCCTCTTCCCGCGCAGACCCGACCAACAGCGCCTTATTTGGGCATGCAACCCCACACCGTCAATTAGATCAAAACGCTCACACGGAGCTCCTTCCCCCCCCCCCAACTAAAGTAGGTCATTCTCTTTATTTCCCACTTGTATTATTTTTGTCTAATTCTCCTCTTGAAAAATAATCAGCTGCAAGGAACTTTGAGCATCCTAAGAGAAGCCGTTATTCTTAGGCTTGCTTTTCTGACTTGGAGGGCTTTTCAAGGAGGAGGAGGCATTTGGCACGTGATGGTTCTGAAGTCCCTCCCTTTCCAAAAGGGGGAAAAAAAGAGTTACTTTAATTAATTACGTTATTTATTTATTTATTGGCTTTGTTTTTCTTCAGGCAAGAAGGCTTTGCCCTGCTCTTAAAGCATGGTCCCAATATCTACTAAAGAATAAAGTTATGTGCCTTTAACCTGATTCAGTGTGGACTTTAAAGCCACCTCCCTTCCTTTCTTGCTTTGAAAGAGATCCCAACTCCCTCCTCCTCCCTTTTGGGAACTAGTTGAACAATTCTTAGGTCATCTTTTTGTAGTGACCTACAGTAATAATGCATCAAGTAGTTCTGCAGAGCAACAAATGTTTTTGCTACTGTTTTTACCTGTTGCTCAGAGGATATCCTACCAAATGTGTGGTCTCTGTCTTTTGATAATGGAGACGATGTAGATATATGTATATATGGTTGTATATATATATGGTTGTTGCACTCATTCCAGACTCCATCTCATCTCCTGTTAATCCTACTGGGTAGGACATCTGTCTGACCAGAATGGGAAGGGGAGTCTGCAGCATGGAATCCAATCAGGACTCGGGGAGGCGGGGTCCTCAGAAGAATGTGCCTTTCCCTCCAAAATGTAGAGTCAAAGTGGAAAGTTTACCTTCCGTTCCTTCGATGCATTTGACAGTTCAGTTCCTTTTATTGGCATTTGTTGACAGCTTCCGTGAGTCAGGCTGGGCTTGGCCTGTGAGGGATCAAGGGAAAGTTTATGGTAGTTTCAGTACAAGAAGGATTTACAGGGCAGAGGCAAGGATAAAATGTGGCCAGATAGGGCTAGTGGCAAAAGACAAAAATGCCATGTGGGTTCAAAGGAAGGAATCAGGGTGGGCTTCTTGAAGGAGATGACATTGATGCTAGAGTTTTTCATCAACTAGATAACAAAGTCAAACTAGATCATAATCTCCACAATATTTGAAATGGGCAGCATGGGCAAAGAACCATTTCAAAATTACATTGCCAATTTGGGGAAATTCTCAAGTTTCATGTAGTCAGTACTTTAAAAGAACTTGGCTTTACTCATTGAATGCTGCAATGGTGTATCCAGGGACCTCAGATATTTTTTAAAGAGTCAAAATTTATGGAGAGGAAGATCAACATTTTAAATTGCAGTTATACTGATCGTTGAAGATCAACGAAACAATTCAGTTTTGCAACCTAACTGGGAGTTCTTTTCCATCACAAAAGTTGAATCTGTGGCCTACCCTAATTTAAAACATTTAGCCAATTAAAGTCTCAAAATACATACACTATAGGTGTCCATATGTGGTGCTACATACAGGCAAGAATGTGTGGGCTATTCCAATTATTACAGCACTAGCTCAAGGCGTGGGGCCCATATTAGGTATGTATAGTCAGTAAATGAAATAGAAACTTTAGGATAGACAACAAGAACAATTCTATGCCAGATGACATCATCACAGTTTTTCTGAATAATCATAGGATAGAGGGCCTGCTTTCTTTTTTAAAGGGGTGTCCAGAAGCTCCTTTATGGATTTTTAACTCTAAGTAGCAGTTTTCACTTTCCAAGGGAAAGAAAAAGAGGGGCACCTGGGTGGCTCAGTGGTTGAGCGTCTGCCTTTGGCTCAGGTCATGATCGCCAGGTCCTGGGATTGAGTCCCACATCAGGCTCCCCATGGGGAGCCTGCTTCTCCCGCTGCCTATGTCTCTACCTCTCTCTGTGTGTCTCTCATAAATAAGTAAAGAAAATCTTAAAAAAAAAAAGAAAGAAAAAAGAAAGTAGAAAGAAAGAAAGAAAGAAAAGAAAGAAAGAAAGAAAGAAAGAAAGAAAGAAAAGAAAGAAAGAAAGAAAGAAAGAAAGAAAGAAAAAACACAAGACCAGGCAGGCACCATTAAGTAGGGTAACATCATATTAGGGAAGAGAACCATTGCAACTGAGACAGAAGGGCAAGAGGGGTCAGTATAAAGATGAAGAAGAGGCCTCAGAGCCTGGTAACCAGAGACCAAATGACTCAGAGTCCAGGACTAATGGCCGCCTATAGAAGGAAGATTCCAGAATATCCACCTTGTGATTGAAATATCAGGTTGGAATTTGAACACTTTGTTTCTGCAGAAGTTCCACAGGGTGAAAGTGCAGGGTGGTGATTTGCAGTGATTCGTTCACTGTGGCAGGCTCCCTTGCGGGCCTGAGGATGTTACCAGGAGACAATCAACGCCTTGTGTAGCCCGCCTGGTAGGGTGAAGACTTGGCACCTGTGCCTATTAGATCATGTGGTTGGAAAACCAAAGAATGAAGTAAGATTTCCTTACAAAATTGGTGTGGAGGACCCAGGGAGGAAGTGTGGGCTGGAGCAGTCTGGAGGTGACAAAGCCCCAAAGCCTCAGCCAGTTCCCACCAGTTAGTAGCATTGCTTCTGGAACCACAGGAGAAAATAATACATGTGAATGCGCATGCATCGAAACACACGCAACACACACACACACACACACACACACACACACACATCTGAAACAGATGTGATAAGACTATTGGCGATATGGGCAATTGAGAATAATCTTTCCTTTAAGCTCCCTGAGGAAGGCCCTTTATGTACATTTCCTCTGATAATGAATTTTGATTTTAGGTCCTATTTCTTTGTCTTCTAAAGAGAATCTTAAAAAAAAAAAAACAAATCTTTATTTTTTAGAGCAGTTTTATGTTCACAATAAAATAGGTCAGGAAGTACCAAGTTGGCATATATTCCCTGATTCCCTCTCCCCAGCCTCCCAGACCATCAGCATTCCCCAACAGAGTAGGACATTTGTTACAATCAATGAACCTCCACTGACACATTACGGACATTATCACCCAAAGCCCGTAATTTACATTAGGGTTCACTCTTGGTGTTGTGCAGTCAGTGGGTTTGGACAGTGCATAAGGACCTGCATCTACCAT